GTTATATTTAAAAATGGGGGAAATTGGGGCCTCCAATGCGAAAGCGCACTAGCCACATAGGGCCCTTAGGCGCTCCTAGGCGTGCCTAGGCGCACTTTAAGCGGTCAGCGAGCGGTCAACATTGTCGTTGACCGCTTAATTACCGCTTAGCCTCAAAGCGAGGCGTTTTCATCAATTTTCGAGCCTCGGTGTCGCCTAGGCGCCGCCTAGGCGAGCCTTTTAAAACAGAGATTTTAGGAGATAAATGTACAATAGCATTTGTGGAGGTACTATCCAGTGTTTTAAGTTTTTCAAAAATCTCATTCTTGACAATGTTAAGCCCTTGTCCGAGCCTCATTTTTTGTGAGAAAAATATTTTAAAACGGTGATTTTTTACAGAATGTGTGGTTAAAAAAATAAGTAAAGATTTTTATTTACGTATAATATTATTATATGGAAGAATATGTATTGGAAAATAAGGTTTTTTTTTATTTAATGGGGTCCAAACATAGGCTAAATAAGATGTCCAAAGTAATCTTCCGTGGTTTAGTCGTCTTAATTTTGACTCAAACATTCGCTGGCTTATCCCTTCAAACGTCAAAAAATAATGATTAAAATTCAACTTTGTAGACTAACCAATTTAGTCATTCTCGACTACTACTTAACAGAACCACGTAACAGAATTTGCTTTTTAGGCAGGTAGTTGCGGGTTTTTTATCCATTCGATTTTTCTTTTTTCTAATTTTTTTTTACTATTTTAAAAGGAATTTATTTGTACTTTTGAAAAAGTTATGGGACTCTCTCTCTCTCTCTCTCTCTCTCTTTTGTTTTACTATTTTATTTTATTTTTGTTTATAAATCCGTTATTTAATGACCAAAATGGAGAGAATAACGAGTTTTGCTATATAATTGAAAGGTCGATGATGAATATACACTAAAAATATCTTGATGATAAAAGTTTATTACATAGATAAGCCCCCTTAGCCGTCAACGCTCGGAAAGATAGGGCGAACAAATCACATTGGTGTTTTTTTTTTTAATCATTTCATTTTGTACCTACATTGGGCATCTTAAGTCAACAGTTGGGTCGGGCCTAATTATTTCATTGTTGACCTTGTCTGGATTTGTGCGTTGTGCAGGCGAAAGTTTAGGTCCAATCCAATTACCAGCCCGCTTGCAAATCCTTTCTTTGGATGGCAAAAAAATTTCAATCAACTCGATACCCGTGGAGTCCCGTACCGAATGAGACGAGAATTACCCATCTAACTGGGTAAGCGAGCCAGGGGCAGGGGAGGGGCAGGGGTCATTGCCCCTAAGCAGGTACATAAAACATAATTCCCACCCCGCTAACCTCCTCCATTTAAAAGAACTTTCAAATTTAAATTTTTTATCACACAAAAGTAATAGATTTGTCATCTTTTTTAAAGAGAATAAGTTGTTTTTAACAAATTGAAAAAAAAAAAAGAGTAATAATATGTACTAATTAAGCCCATATTTGGTGCACATTTTGAGTCCAAAAATGTATTTTTATGTTTTATGTGATGAGGAATATGTGATTGAAAAAGCAAGAAAAGTTATTGATATGATGGAATATATTATTTTATTGAAAAATGTGTGATTGAAAATGAGTAGAAGAATGAGAATGAAAAAAATTATGTGCCTCAAACAGGGGCTAAAGACATAAAAAACAATAAAAAATGTGATTGAAAAAACAAGAAAAGTTATTGATATGATGGAATATATTATTTTATTGAAAAATGTGTGATTGAAAATGAGTAGAAGAATGAGAATGAAAAAAATTATGTGCCTCAAACAGGGGCTAAAGACATAAAAAACAATAAAAGCAAAAAATAAAGTAAAATAAAATAAAAATAAATGGAGCAATAAATGAAGTAGGGGACCCGTCCCGTCCCATCTCGATCCTGTCCCGTCCTACTTTAATCTGGTATGAGAATGTGATAAAGTGGCAAAAATACCTGATAGGACAGGGGTGAGAACGATCGACCCGTCCCATATCCATCCCACCATCCCTAATCTTTTCAAAAGGCTACCTAATTTATCACCAAACCATGAGTTCTTTCATGTGCTCCACTCATGTTCTGCAAGTGGAGGGAGGCTATCGGTAAAACAGAGAGCTTTCAATTTTTTATATAGTTAAAATTATTCGCATTAGTGTGTTTTATTAATAAATAATAATAAACAGTACAATTTTAGGAGAAGACTAGAAGAAGGGCAATCTTGTGAATGAGATTTATAAGGTATTTAAACTAACGAAACTCGTGTGGTCTCTTCCTGATTCTCGTCATCACACCTTTGATGCATTTAGTCTCCTCATCTTCCGCTTTGAAATCACCACTCATTTTTTATTGAACCGATCTATTTCTCATCTTCCTACCCGGGGGGGCGGGGGGATTGATTGATGAAAAGTTTAGGCCACACACGGTTTTCCTTAATTAGAAATGGAAAATTTTCACATTTTTTAGATATTAATGTGAAAATAAATAAAAGACAAATTTTTAATTTTAACTTCCTAATTTGTATCAACATATTCAGAAAGAAACCTTAAATAAACCATACTTCTCCCCCATAATAATATTCCCCCAAAATACCATGCTTTATCCTCAAAAACAATAAATACCCATAATGCAAAAACAATTTCGCGTGTCCACACACTCGAAACAAACATTTTAAAGCATTCCATTCTCTTTTCTTTTTCACACACACTTTTCATACATATAGATACAAACAAACATCTTACATATACCATAATTCATCCTTAAATCACAACTTTCCATTTCATCAAACAATTTTCAGCTCCTTTTTTCTCATGGAGATTTTGGGGGTTTTGAAAATTTTCTTGATTTTCACCATCTTTTTCTTGATCGGAGATCCATTTTTCTCTCTGTCATCTTCTTTGCCCGAGAGACTCGCGAAGTCTGCAGCTGCACACCGTAATTTCACGGCCATATCAGAGTTTCGAGTACTCAATAGAAAACATTTTAATGATTGCCCCGACGTGAACCCTCATCTGCAAATGACTACAAGCTCCATTGCCAAGCTTTCTGATGATGGATATATTACAGTAAATGTTACAGGAGTTTTACATCCTTCGACTGATGAATGGGTTGCAATGATTTCACCTTCTCATGCCACGTGAGATAATTATTTTCGTATCAAAATAATTTGATTCTACACTTGAAATTTTTTTTTAATTTAATCTGATCTTGCAGTGTAACAGCCTGCTTAGAAAAGTACATTCTTTACTTGGAGACAGGAGATTTGAGTAGGCTTCCGCTTCTCTGCCATTATCCTGTTAAGGTAAGCACGTTCTGCTTTTGCAAATTGTTTCAAGGATTGACATTATTTTATATTTTACTGCTGCCATTCTGTTAATTTATTTCTTGACGTGCCTGGTTCATAATGATCAGAATTCTGTACAAGTAACAAATAATTCAGAAACCGAGAATTTCTTGAAAAACTTGTCCTTGATCCCGTATCTACTCGATGTAATAACAACAACAATAACAAACTAATGTCGGGATTTTGATATTTGTCCCAGCTCAATGACCGGGGCAAACAACAGGGCACCACCTCTTATTGGAGGAGGAGGAAGTCGCCCTGTTTTTGGGCCCAGTCATTGAGCCGGGCCCTATAGTGTAGTTCCTAATGTCGACCCGGGTTATCGCTAAAATTTGCAGGCTCAACGTTTAAGAAGCGATCCAGATTACTTGAGTTGCAAGAAGAAGGAATGCAGTAAAAAAGTGAATGGAAAATGCGCGTTGAGAACATGTGGTGCTTCTTTGTCATTTCATGTCATTAATATTCGAACCGATATCGAATTTGTGCTGTTTGCTGGTGGATTTGTTACGCCTTGCATTTTGAGAAGGTCACAGCCACTCACTTTTGCCAATCCAAACCAGCCTTTATATGGACATATATCGAGTACCGATTCAACGGCAAAATCGGTATGGAATGCCATCTCTCTCCAATATCCATTCATATGGTTGAGAATATTATTTTATTTTTTTATTCACGACATTTTAGATGAAATAGTTCAAATATTATTGGAATGTGTTGTTAAAAAATGGAAAAAAAAAATTATTGATCCCATAAAATACGTGATTGAGTACCTGTTTGAGCCCCATTTTTTTTNAAATACATTTTGAAATAGTGATTTAACGAGAAATGTGTGGTTAAAAAATAAGAAAAAATTTTGGATTTACGTATAATATTATTTTATTGAAAAATGTGCGGTTGAAAATAAGATAGTGGAAAATATATTTTGAAAATAAATGGGGATCAAACAATGGCTGAAAATGATTTTTAACGAAAAACGAGTTTAGAAAAAGTTGTACCAAACATATCTTTATTTAGCCCATGTTTAGTGTAGTTAAAACTCAGTTTTTTTAATTTATTATTTTGATAGAAACTGATGATACGTGTGGTTGAAAAGTTTTGAAGTACGTAAATTGTACGGTTAAAATTAATTGTTAACTTTAATTTAAATTTTTAACGAATTTTTAATCTACACCTGGACTTAATTTTTTGCCACGCCCGTTTCCATTTATTTTCCCTGTAAAAAATGGCACAAGGCTTTGTTGACTTTGGTATCATTAATTGCCTTGTCCGCCCCGGCAAGATTTTTTGTTTACACGCATCTGCATTTTTAATAAATTAAACAGCTGTGATGGGATGGCAACATACCGTCCTAATTTATTGCCTCCAGAGTAGAAAAAAAGTAATGCTATTCATCTTTATTGAGGTCGAGCCTCAATCTATGTGACAATTGAATTTATCATTTAATGTCATGTAATTATCACATAAATTGGTGTTCAACCTCAGTGGGGATGAATAACATTATTCATAGAAAAAAATTTCACTGCTTGTCTTTCCACGTCATCAGTGAGAAATTTTTATTCCATCCACCGAGAGCAGAAGATCAATTTCATGGCAACATATAAGCTTTTACGGTAGTGCAGAAAAAATAGTGAATATTCTTTTACCTTTTACTGAATTAAGTTTAATTCATTGTAGTTGTGGGTTAAAAAGTTCAAAAGTTAGAAAAAGTTGACTGCAAAACTTGAGGTGTGAAAGATGAGAAAACGAAGAAGTCTTGCTTTCCAACGTAGGGTCACATAAGACTTGTGCATGGCAATAATTATAAAATATATTAGTATAAAATATATATTATTTTGTATGCTTATGAGAATAGACATTATAAAGAATAAATATTTTAAATATTTTTTTCCGTCTGTTTATATTGTCTGATACTGTACAATCAATTTTCATCCCACTGATTTAAAGTTGTCACAAGTGTCAAGATTTTAATGGGTTACGTTTTTTGCCTTTCAAGAAAAACAACGAATGAGACGAGGAGATAGAGACTCATTGTGAATGCATTAGTACCCCATGTTCGATATGACTACAATTGGCACAATTTGATATGAATCAATATATGAATAATATAATGGATTTATGAATATTTGTGATAATTGCAGATGAGAGTAACGTGGGTGAGTGGTAGTCAACGGCCTCAACAAGTTCAATATGGAAATGGAAAATCAGCTACTTCACTTGTTTCTACTTTTTCACAAACTGATATGTGCAACTGTAAGTTTCTTATTCTCCTCATCCTCATGTTTGTGCTTAAAGTAGCTTATCTTTGAAAAATAAAAACAATTAACCAAATAATTTGATTGAACCTCGTTTTGTCGACCATTTTGAAAAGACTGATGTTATTTAGCGCAATTAGTATTAAAACGTCGTTGTAAGCGGCACTATACCTCAATTTTGTTAGCTTCAAGAAGTACTTTGAGAGTTTTATTATATCTAAAACATTGTTTCTTTTTTTTATTGAAAATAAGCTTCCCACTTGCAAAGTCCTGCCAAGGATTTTGGGTGGCATGACCCTGGCTACATTCATTCAGCAGTAATGACAGGACTCAACCCTTCAACCAAGTACACCTACAGATATGGAAGGTAAATTTTTGTTTCCAAGTAAATAATAAATAGAAGGAAAAAAGAAAAGCCAAAAACCAGCGGCAGTAAGACGAGAAATTTTAATTTCGACCGGTAAAAAATCGAAAAAACTTATTGCATATACTGAGACATGACAAGTATTATACATAATTTGTACATATAATACAGTGATCCAAGTGGATGGAGTAATTGGACTACATTCAAGACACCACCTGCTGCTGGATCAGATGAGCTTAAATTTCTTGCATTTGGAGACATGGGCAAGGCCCCTCGTGATGGTTCTACTGAACACTATATACAGGTAATATATCTGTTGCACAAAATAATATAATGCAAATGTAACTAAAAAGGGCTTAATTTTGGGTGATAAATACAGCCAGGATCACTATCAGTCATCGAAGCTATGGCCAACGAACTATCCTCCGGTGGTGTCGACTCGATATATCATATTGGAGACATAAGCTATGCCACAGGTTTTCTGGTAGAATGGGACTTTTTCCTTCACCAAATCAACCCAGTGGCCTCTAAAGTTTCTTACATGACTGCAATTGGAAACCATGAGAGGTATGTTGTTCGGTTCGGTTCAAAATTGTGTAAATGTCACATATTTAATGAGAAAATGGGTCGACGATTTTTAAGCTTTTAGACAAACTAATAGAAGTTGGAAGCGTAATGTTTCAGGGATTTTCAAGACTCGGGATCGGTTTATTCTACTCCGGACTCCGGCGGTGAGTGTGGGGTACCTTATGAGACATATTTTCCAATGCCAGCAGCTGCAAAGGATAAGCCATGGTATTCTATAGAACAAGGGAGTGTTCACTTTACAATAATTTCAACGGAGCATAATTGGACATGGAAGTCGGAACAGGTACATAAATTGCCTTCTTTTATGCCGTTTTGTGCCTCGTTTTGCATAGAGAGCAATGTAATATTAGAAATTAGAGTATTGTCTAGTAAGTGTTGCACTTAACTTGCGTTGTGTCCTTCCACAGTATGAATGGATGAAGAAGGACATGGCTTCAGTTGATCGATCAAGGACTCCATGGTTAATATTCATGGGGTGAGTTTTAAGTTTTCAAAGCCACGACCAATAATCTTATTGCATTTCGATTAGACAATAACTAAAACTCTGCTTGTCTAATGAAACAAATGATCATTGATGAAAATTATTCTCAGTGACCACCGGCGGTATGTCGATTTGTGAGTTAGATGGAAATTACGGACAACAATGTCGTTGGTGATTATTAATACGTCATTGTTAGTATTATCAATGATAATGCTGTCAATGGTATTTTCGAAAATCACCAACAACGTTTTAGTCACCGACGAGATACTGTCAGTGATCTCCATGGTAATTTAGACTAAAATTCAATATATATTGGTGATATAGATGAAATTATGAACAACATATCGTTGGTGATTATCGACACACCTCCGTCAGAATGTCTTCAGAGATGTTGTCGAAAATCACCAAATATACTTTAGTCACCGATGGGAAACCATCACTATCACTCACAAAATTTTATTATATACACATTCTTTATGTTTTTATAAAATACAACGAATTATAAAAATATTGTTTTTTTTTTTTAAATAATATTACAGACTTATAAATTGTTTTTTGACATTTATTTTGTTTAAAATTTTCGTTTAGTGTGTGTGTGTGTGTATATATTGTTGACTTTTCTTCCGTACATTTAATTTATTAAACTATTTATGCTTTTTAATATTACTAACTGAAAAAATCGTTCGGATCTTTAATTGTTTTTTAATATTGTTAATTACCAACTGAGTTTTTTTTTTTATAAAATAACAAAAGTAAAAAGTATATTAATATTAAAAATTGGGGTAGAAGGTTCTAGATGCTTAATTCTGGAGTCGAATCTGATTTAAAAGATGCATGTATATGTTTTTTGAATTATGTCATTTGTACACTAATTTTTTACATCATTATTAACATTTGCGTTGTTGTTAACAAATAATTGGATTAAAAAAAAAAAAACTTTTTTATGATTTTAAACATTCAATTGGATAATGTCACATGGCAAAGTGTAAACACCAGTTCGAAATGCCTCCGACGAAACATGTATAAATATTCAATTCATTAGTTTTACATGTCAATAAAATCAATGAATATTGCTGCAGGCACAGGCCCATGTATTCCTCCAACGATGGAAACTTTATTTTGCCAACTGTCGACTACAAATTCGCTACAGTCGTGGAGCCATTGCTACAAGCCAATAAGGTAAAAATTAAGGGTTAATCCATTTTGTACATAATGGTTAGTACATAATGGATTACCCCCTTTCACATAATGTGCGGGCCCCGTGTGTATTTAAAAATTTCGACAATCTGGTCCCCACTCTCATTGTGAGTAGTAGGTAAAAAATTAGTAAAAAAATTCGGTACATGTAGGATAATCCAAAAAGTAACGCTAATTTGAGTGAGTACCGGTTTCATGATTAATTGTACTCACTGACATATAATTGGATCTACAGGTTGATCTTGTCCTGGTTGGGCACGTTCACAACTATGAAAGAACGTGTGCCGTTTATCGGCAACAATGCAAATCAATGCCTAAGAAAGATGGAAATGGAATTGATACATATGATAATACAAAGTTTAGTGCACCAGTTCATGCTGTCATTGGAATGGCTGGCTTTAGCTTGGATAAGGTCTCCATTATGGTAAGTACTTACAACCTCAAGCCCTCAAAGAAACTCCTCACCCAGCCTCCACTCTCAAGTATCAAACTTGATCCCCTGTCAATTTTTCTTGACGTTTCCGTTCCAACTTCCCTCTTTCTTCGTAATGGACAGGGAAATCCATGGAGTTTGGTCAGGATTTCCAAGTTTGGATACACAAGAGTGCATGCAACAAAGAAAGAGCTAAAAGTTGAGGTCAGTTCATCCAGATTTCATTCATTGAATGTTTGTCACAATCTTTATAAATGAGTTAACTCAAATATTTATCTACTTAAATTTTAAAATTGGGTGATGCAATAAGAACATCAAATTGAGTTATTTTTTGACATGTTTATTCATTTTGCAGTACGTAAATTCAAACACAAGAAAGGTTGAAGATAGCTTCCGAATCATCAAAAGTTGAAAAATGAAAAATATATAGCCTATAGGCAAGGAGATTTATTGTACAAATATAAGGGTTAAATCCACTCATAGCCGTGGTGAAACAAAATCAAATTGAATGGCTATTGGTGAATTTAACCCAAAAATATATTGTAACGAAGGAATGTTGCAAAACTTTTAAGAGCACTTGTGTTTTCTAAATAGCTTCTCTGATTTTTACACTGTCTGGGTCGATTGATTAGTATCTAGTCGCTATATTTTCTATCTAAATTGGAAAAAATAAAAAAAATCACTACATTCATATTTATCTGAAGCTTGTGCACCACAATGATCATATGTTGGTTCGAGACTAGGAATCAAACCATAAACTTCATCTTCTTGGAGACGACAAAGAACAGTTGGCCAGATTGCGGACATCTCCTTGTTCCGAGATGTTTCGGAAACCTCAGCAAATGCACGGAATTGCTCAGAAAACCCCATACCTACAAACTAGAAGATAAAAGCATGTTTTCACCTATGCAAAGAGAAGAAAAAAATGAAGACAAAATTATAGCAATAGAATATAAGATGGACAGATAGAAACATCAGTTGGAAAGGCAAGCATCGAAGAAATGCAGAAGAAGATAAATCTTTGTATAATTTAAAAATGGTGATTACATATCAACATGAACTTGGCTTTAATTTGAACTCTCGAACTGATTTGTGGTACAGGGGCTTCCACGAAGCTCTATCCAAGAGAAAGGAATGACAGATAATACTGTTCCTAGAGTAGGCCTTAGGGTAAAGCCTAAATCTCGAAAGTGTACCAGTTTTAGGGTACATTAACTTGCAACCAAAAAAAAATTCAAAAACTAACCGTATCCATTGATTTCATCCGCTTCTTCAAATCAGCAGATTGCAGTCCCACTTTTTTAACTGAAGCACCATTAGTCCACCCCATATCTGACATGACTACTTCGGCCGAGTAAACTATTGATTCGTCTCATTGGTCTAGATCTGAAACATCTTTCGAAGTGTCCAAAATCTTATTGGGATCAAGCAGTCCAGATCTCAATAGGCATTCACATGCTGCTTCTTTACCTTCTTCTGTTAGCATGTATCTGGATTTATAGTTCTCAATAGAACACGTGGTGCAGAGGTTCGACATCATTAAATTCTTTTACAGACTAACTGGAACTCCCACTTATGAACAAATGCCCGAATTATTAGACAGGGCATCAAATAATGATATTAAATCCATTTTGGTTCATTACATAGCGCTCCATTCAATAAGTAGGATGTTTCTAGCAGCTACACAGTTTCAAGCCTAATAAGTATATGAACGATAAATGAATCCTGAGTAAATGCAGAGGACTTCCTCCATAACTTAATATCAGAAGTGGTGGGTGAAGTGCCTTCCACCATTTTTCTTAAGCTTCTACCAGTATTATTCAGCAGTTGGAGGCATTAACTTAGAATTTCACATATTACTAATTCCGTGCATTTAACAGAAAAACTGCATTGGACAGTACAGAAGTGTAAGGTGGGTGGGCACCAGGCCTGAGAATACATTTTGTAAACAAGAAATTCAGCAAATGATTCAAAAGTAAACTGCAAGTGCTGATGCACAAAAGTCTCTGATCGTGTATGGGGGTGGGGTGGGGGGGGGGACAGTAAAACTAACTCAATTTAGCAATTCTGGAGCCTGCATATCTAACTTGAATATATTCTGGTAGTTATTACAATTAAATCCAGCAAAAAAATCTTGAAGTTAATTTTGAAAGAAAAATAAAATCAGAGACATGCATGACGAAAAGGGAAAAACATAATCATACTTTGAAGGCAGCTCGACTTCACAAGAAGTCCCTTAGTTATTAACGTCTTCATGCAGTTCCATGACAACATGGTCAAGGGACCACTTGATCCAGATTTCCCTTTTGTTTTTTCAGGCCTAAAGATAGCAGAAGAACATCTTACCAATCAGAGTAACTGATGCTTCAAGGTCATTTCTAAATTAGAGAGACTGAAATCATACGCAATTGGCACACGAGCCAACCCACTAATGTCAGCTGCGTCAATAAGCTCCTGTTCTCGCATAAATTCATTTCCATTTTCTGTCCCTCTAATGCCATAAAAACATCATACCAGTATTGGTAACGAAACGGAATTAAATCAGAAATAAAAAGAAAAAATAATAATACGAATAGAAAATTCTAACCACTGACCTGTAGAGTGTAATCAACAAGGCATAGGTGACAGTATTCTTTTGTGGCACATAGCGCTTGGGTCCCTTATTTTTATTATTCCCTGTAGGGCTGGAAAAAACTCCTGAACCGAACCGACCCGAACCCGAACCGGACCGAACCGAACCGAGCGATTCTTCATAAGTTAAATACCCGAACGGGGTATCTGAATCGAGAACCGACGGGTTCGGTTCTCGGTTCTAGACCCAGAACCGAAAAATAGAATTTAAATAATTTTTTTAATTTTTTATATTTAATTAATTATTTTTTTCTAAACAAATTAGCAAATTAACTAATTTAATAAGTAATGTTCTAACTCTCAAGTCAAGTTCATGCCTAGCTAGTCCAGCCCAACCCAATTTCTAAATTTAATTACTGTTGTACCAGTTCCCTGGTGAACTTCCAGATTTCCCTTTTGTTTTTTCAGGCCTAAAGATAGCAGAAGAACATCTTACCAATCAGAGTAACTGATGCTTCAAGGTCATTTCTAAATTAGAGAGACTGAAATCATACGCAATTGGCACGCGAGCCAACCCACTAATGTCAGCTGCATCAATAAGCTCCTGTTTTCGCATAAATTCATTTCCATTTTCTGTCCCTCTAATGCCATAAAAACATCATACTAGTATTGGTAACGAAACGGAATTAAATCAGAAATAAAAAGAAAAAATAATAATACGAATAGAAAACTCTAACCACTGACCTGTAGAGTGTAATCAACAAGGCATAGGTGACAGTATTCTTTTGTGGCACATAGCACTTGGGTCCCTTATTTTTATTATTCCCTGTAGGGCTGGAAAAAACTCCTGAACTGAACCGACCCGAACTGGACCGAACAGAACAGAACCGAGCGATTCTTCATAAGTTAAATACCCGAACGGGGTATCTGAATCGAGAACCGACCCCTCGGTTCTATACCCAGAACCGAAAAATCGAATTTAAATAATTTTTTTAATTTTTTATATTTAATTAATTATTATTATTTTCTAAACAAATTAACTAATTTAATAAGTAATGTTCTAACTCTCAAGTCAAGTTCATGTCTAGCTAGTCCAGCCCAACCCAATTTCTAAATTTAATTTTTTGATTTAATTTTTTGGTCCTATTATACGGTTCGGTTCGGTTCGGTTCGGGTTCGGTTCGGTCCGGTTCAGTTCGGGACTTTTGGACACCCCTAAGCCCAACCCAATTTCTAAATTCAATTTTTTGATTTAATTTGTTGGTCCTATTATTAATTTCATTCTTAGCCCAAGATCTGGGCATTTTTAAGTTTTTATCCTTCTCTTTCCAATTTCACACTTTCATTCAGTAATCATTTGATAAATTGAAAACCTACATCTACATGCCCAAATTGAAATCGCCGACTGTCAAGTCCGACTTCCCCTCTCCAATGCTCATCGAAACCGCGACCAACGATCGTTGACCATTAGAAATCTGTTAAAAAAATTAATTATGATACGGAACCGAATGGAACTGAACCCAAACGGTTCTATAATTATATTTGGACCCACAATTCCATTTATTAAATACTCAAAAATTTTGGTTTGGTCAGAATCGAACTCAATAGAATCGGACAATATCCAGCCCTAATTCCCTGCAAGTGTTCAAAAGTAAAATACAAAGAACCCACCAGGTATAAAACACTTGAAGAAGTAATGGAACATCCATATATTGCACAAGAACTCGTACAGATGCATACAGAAGAGGAAATACCTTTTCTGGTCATACCTTCATTCTCTGAACACCAGAATCTATAGCAAAAAACCCTTGCATTTGCCTCAAAATCCATTTATCCACTCCCCTACAGACTACAGTCAGATACACAATTCCAATAGCACAAAACCTTTATTTGCTCTAACTGTATATTTACAGAATATTCTCTAACAGAAGTATTACACGAATGCCTAGTATAGAAAATTTTATATAGTAAAGTAAAAACTTGAAAACTTGAGGAAATGAGTTCATCTTCTCTAGAGAAAATATTAAAAGAAGTACAAAGCTTGTAAATGAATAGAAGAAGTATAACAATTTCTGCAGAAAGTACAACTGTACGTAGAAAAACTTGTTCTAACCTCCATGTTCCCAAGGGAAATACTAGTAAGAACAAAATTTCAAAAGTTGCGAAGGAATAAATATTTAACCGTCCAAATGAAGTCCTAATTGAAAACCCAAATTCTTCAATCCAATAGAAATATTTATCGATTGATCATAAAAACAACTCCTGAGACTGAACGTACTTTAAGATGCCTCCCTGGATGTTACACGCCTAAATATGATTTAGGGAATTAATTTATTTATTTGATTATGCATGTTCTTTTCAGTTCAGTTGGGTCTAGAGACTAAGTCAATGGGTTGTTTCTGTAATGGGCCATGATATGCTCGTGGGTTGTTATTTGTTATGCAAGTGGGTCAGTTAGCAAGTCTGTAATGCCTATAAAAGGCCAGAGTATTATGAATGAAATTATGTGTTGAATTTCAATTGTGCCGTGTGCATGTGGAGGTCTTCTGGCTCCTCAAATTGTCAGAGTTTTCTTCAATTAAATTTCTGGGCATAACACTGGATCAGATATAAATGAGAATATAACTTAATCTTTAGACTAAAATCAACTTCCAAACTGGCTTCAAACGTACTTTAAGATGCCTCCCTGGATCAGATATAAATGAGAATAAAACTTAATCGTTAGACAAAAATCAACTTCCAAACTGGCTTCAAACTATTTATCATAACAAAACATTGACCTGTAGAAGTCCATTGTTCGAACCAAATAAAAAAGTTCTTTTGGGGTAAAAATAAAAACACAATGAGTATAAAATTGATCAGGGTTTGAATGACAATTAATGAAAAAGGCTTTTGAGTTTTTACTTACTTGATTTGAGACAAGTCTTTCCTGAATTTGATTGGGGTGCTGAAATTACAAATATTAGAATAAGCCTTGTTAAGGGTCGAGTCGATATTGTCGGAGATGCCCTGGGGATGCCGCGCCATTTCTTGCCGCTTGTTCCACATGTACACCGCCATCTCTGCATTTTCCGGCAAGCAATTTACCTTAGACTATTCATTTTCCACAATATTCAGCCAAAATTAGGGTTTCTATTCACATGGGAATTAAAATTTAGGGAATTTTCTGATCGAATTTTGCTAGGGTTCTTCAATGGTATACATCATTAACAGATATATTCATTTGGGGCAAAATGGCGCTAGGGGTCTTTTTGAAGTTGTAGAATGAGAGGGCAAAAGTTTGCAAATTGGCCTCTCTACTTTTGGTCAGTTATAAATGAGACCCTTCCTCTATTTTCTATTTTCCCTCTCCCTCGTAGAACTCGGGTTAAATCTATCATGGCCACCCAACTTTATTATTAGTGTCACCGTGACCACTCAATTTCATAAAATATTTCATCATGGTCACCAAACTTCTTTTAACCATTTTAAAATTTTAAAAGAGGCAAAATGGTAAGTTTGCGTTATATATATAAAATGAAACTTTAAAAAAATAAAAATAATTTTTTTTTAAATAATTTTTTTTTTTAGGTAACGTTTTTTAAATAATTTTTTATTATTTTTATTTATTTAAAATATGTTTTATTTTATTTTATTTTTAATTTATTTTTTATATATAATGCAAAGTTGCCATTTTATCCCTTTTACAATTAGTGAAAATGGGAAAAAGAAGTCGGATAGCCATGATGAAATATTGTATAAAATTGGATGGTCATAGTAAAACGTTATATGAAATTTGGTGCCCATAGTGAAATAAAATCAAATTGAGTGGTCAGGGTGACACTAAGTATAAAATTAGGTGATCATAATAAAATAAAATCAAATTGGATGGTCATTGTGATACTAAATATAAAGTTGGGTAGTCATTGGTGTATTAAACCCATTTTTCCTCACATGCAATATGGCATGAAATTACAAAAGTTCCAATTTATTAAAAACTAAATTGTTATAATAATCAAATAATTTTTTCTTTTTTTTTTGGCAATTCGGTCTTTTTGGTTTTGCTAAAAATCAAATTTATATTAATTTTTGCTAAAAGTGTGATAAAATATATGGTTGAAAAAATTATAAATTCCATAAAATATGTGATTGAATATGTTGTTATTTAACTCATGAGAGCATATTCAGCTATATTATTGTTAGTGGAGGAAATAATAGAGAATGTAGTGCGAAAGTGAAAGTGAAAGGCATTTAAAAAATATTAAGAGTATGTTTGGTAGAAATTTTTGGGGGAAAAATTGATTTTTGAATAGTGATATGATGGGAAATGTGTGGTTGAAAAAGAAGAAAAAATTATTGATGTGATAGAAAATATNGATAAGATTATTGATGTGATAGATAATATTATTTTATTGAAGAATGTGTGTTTGAAAAGGAGAATTGATTTACTGTAGAAAATGAGAATTTGTACCAAACAGGCCCTAATTAAAGTTTTAATCATGTTATTCAGAACATGTTTGAACCCCATTTTTTCTGAAGACTGTATAGTGAATTGATGAAAAATGAGCAGTTAAAAAAGAAGAGAGGTGAAAATAATATTATGCCCATGTTTGGCCTGCATTATCGAAGAATGTGTAGTTGAAAAGAAGAGAGGTGAAAATGTATTTTAAAAATAATGGAAATCAAACAAAGCTCAATATGGTATAATTTATAATGAAAGCTAGGGGTGAGCAAAACCCGACTGAACCCATCAAAATCGTCGAAATCGAACCAACCCGACCGGGTTTGGTTGGTTTTTTTGTTGTTTTTACACGGGATTGGGTGGGTGGATTGGTTTGTGTAGGCAGGTCAGGTTGGGTTATGGGTTAACTTATAAAAACTGAATAAATCCGCACAACTCAACCCGACTATATTTATGAACTTTACAAATGTTATAATGTTGCTAGAAAACTTTTAGAATAATATTATAAAATTTGTATAGAATGCATTTTACGAAATATAGTATAAGCAAATACACATTCAATAGAAAAACATTTTAATTGCCAAAAATATTTCTTGACTTCATATAATTTAATATCAATCGGTCCATGTAACATTTTCGGGCATGAAGTGCCAAAATAATTCAAATTTTTTTGTTCATTGCAACTATGGAAACCAAATATTATATAAGCCATGAGTCAATTACAAATCCGTCCAACCC